ACCCCCACGTCTGCCTCCAACCCATGCAGTTCCACCCCACCCTCCTCCAGGCTTGGGCCTGCCACCGGCTAGCTACCCACCTCCCGCTGTCCCCCCTGGAGGACAGCCACCTGTGCCCCCACCCATCCCCCCACCCGGCATGCCTCCAGTCGGGGGGCTAGGGCGGGCAGCCTGGATGAGATAACGTGACGCCTTTTTTCCCTTTGTTTTTTTAACAAGAGTTTTTCTAATCAACTTGAAGAGTAGTTTCAGTGGTTAAGCAGCAGGGTACCTTGTATAATGCTAGACAGTCGCAGTATGGAAAGAATGGACCAGGCCCCTGGGATGAAGTTGGGGTGGTCCTCACATCTGGAGGATGGGAGCAGTCAGCTTTCACCGTAGCCTCAGCAGCACCATTTGCCATCCGACCGTGTGTGCTTGGTTTCAGCTAACGTCGCCTGAGAGGCCTGCACTGGGTTACTTTATACTAGTAAAAATGTTAACCAGCCATATTGGCTCAATAAATAGCTTCAGTAAGGAGTGATTTTTCCTTCTAGAAATCAGTGCCTATTTTTCCTGGAAACTCAATTTTAAATAGTCCAATTCCATCTGAAGTCAAGCTGTTGTCATAGTTTTTATTCAGTGATGTTCTCTCCCATGACACCCAGGGGGTCAGATGAACCACGTTTTTGATTTATAAATGTTTGCATCCTTTGTATTAAAATTATTTTGAAGGGGTTGTCTTGTTGGATGGCTTTTTTTTCCTCCAGGGAGGAGAGAAATGTACTTGGAAAGTAATGTATGTTTACATCTATTTGCAAATTCCTGTACATAAAGATATATTTTTTAAGTGTGAATGTAACAACATACTGTGAATTCCATCTTGGTTACAAGTGAGACTCCTTCAGTCAGTTACCCAAATAAAATCCGTTCTGAAACTACCCCTCTGTTTGTTTCGGGCGGGAGGTGGGGCTCCAGGCCTTAGCAGCCCCTGGGTTGCGAGACCTGCCGAAGCATGTGGCCTCGCCTGGACTCCGGGGCCTGGGCCCGGCTGCAGCCTCACAGCAGCCAAACCCAGCCTTGCGGTCTCCCACCTCTGGGTGGGCTGGGGCAGCTGCCTCCTGGGACAGCCTGCCACCATCGCGTCTGCACGGGTTTTCTTGGAAGGAACTGGATGAGTTCCAAACCAGTTCAGAACTTTCAAGCATGAGTGCCTAAAACACAGGTCCCAGAGTCAGGAAATCCTTTCCATGTCTGGCTGTGCCTAGACAGAGGCAACTGGACTGGCAGTGGCCCGCACCATTCACCTGAGGGGCCAGGGCTCGACATCTGGGGGAGGGGCTTGAGGGGCCTCAGCCATGTCAGCCCAGCGACCTGCCCCCCTCAAAGGAAACAAGCACTGAGCACCCAGCCGGGAGGCTCGCAAAGAGGCCTTTATTTATCTAGCTCAAAGTATACACTATCACAATCTTATTTGTTACCCCTTTTACTAAAATAGTTCAAATCAATGTTTTTACCACACTATCAAAAAGTTCTATTTCTTTTTCTCTCCCCAAATCAAAGTGGTTCGACAGAAGGTGGAAGCAGGCTGGGAGTCCCGGGCCCCTGGCGCTGCGTGGCGCTGGGGTGGGAGGGCGGCCCCAGGTCTCACCGTAGTCACCGTCTACAGAAAATAGAGCACAGCTGCCGGGCCTGGGGACAGAAACCAGACGTTCCAGCCCATCTCCAAAAAGCAGCACAAATACTTTCCCCCCACAGTATGAAAAATATACACCTCTACCTCTGCAGTCATGCATTTAGTTTGTTTCTTTAAAAAAAGAAAAGAAAATCAGTAGTATGTACTTTGTTTCCTCTCAAGTTTCAAGAAAAAAAAATGAAAGGTCACTTTTTTCTCTTTAAACACTGATGTGTAGCTAATAACTTCCGGATAAAAATGTGCTCAGCAGATGACGACTCCAGGATGGGCTGAGCCACCTGGGTGAGGCTGCAAGGGTGTGTTTCATCACAGTGGGACCCGAAGCCCAGCGCAGGCTGAGCTTGAAGTGGAAAGGGGCCTCTCTGAAGGGACACCCCATCAGGTGCTTTAAGAGCTAAGGCTCCAGAAGGGAAGTGCCACCCAGTGCCACCCTGCTAGTGGCAGAGCCAGGAGTCACGCTGAGCTGCAGCCCCCCCAAGGCTCCCCCGTGGGAGGCCCCATCTGACCCTCCCCAGGCTGTGGCTCAGCTCTCTGCAACTGCCACCTGTACCCAGGAACGTGGGGTCAGAGTCACTGCTGGCTTTTTACATCAGCTAGTATGTCTGAGATGTGACTGTCACAGAATTCTGTCCCAGAAAAGCATCCCAGTGCTGTGTTGGCTCAGGGCCACAGCTTATGCTGCCTCCACCGTAGGCAGGAGGGTTCTCGAAGAAATGCTCCACAGATCCCTGGATGCCGCTGCAGCATTAGGGATGGGGGTCACTGCCCCCCAGAGGGGAAAAGTCGCTTCAAGGCTGCCCTTCCCTTGGCCAACTTGTAGGAGCTCTGCAGGTGCCAGGAGCCCTTACTTATTGCTTTCAGTGGTGGCCAAGCCAACCTGATCCGAAGAGGAGTCACGTGGGCTCCCAGACTCAGACCCCACCCAAAATGGACCCACAGCCCCCCAGGCTGCTCTGTGGTTCTTTGGACTCCAAGACCCAGAGGGGGCCTCTTCCCCCCTCCCCAGTCCAGCTGCCCATTTGGGCAGGAATCGCCCAGTACCATAACCAGCAGATGTTCATCCAGCTTCAGTTCACACTGCTAGTGACAGGCGGCACACTCCTTCCAGAAGGAGCCCAGAGAACCGGTAATGCCCACAGCACGAGCAGCAGGCCCAGGCCCATTGCCAGCACCCGCTCAGCACTCTGGGCACAGTGAGGGCACGAGCCTTTCCCCTGAGAGCATGTGACCCAAGGGCGCTGATGGCAGACACGGAGCGGGAACTGCTCAGAACAAGGTCCCCAGCTGGGGAGGGAGGGAGAAGCTGTCTCCCCGCTCTTGCTTGGGTCTGAATGAGACCTGCTGATGATACAAAGACCACCTCTTAGGGCTCCTCGTGTGCTGGCGGCACAGAGCGCTAAGTACCGTTGGGGCGCAGCAGTCTGACGGGGCGAGGAGCTGAACAGTAGAGCAGGGGGGTGCCAGGGGCCGGCTACGAGGGCGTTCGCAGGTGTCAGGAAAGCGGCCTGTCCCTGTCCTACAGGTTCTGGGATCTCATCTCTAATGTGCCATAAAATCGCTTAGCTCCTCTAGGCCTCATTCTCACACACACACAGCCGCCTGCCACACGTTACGGTCTGTACGTGGTTATTTACACTGACAGTCTCGTGTGACCCCAGAACCCTGTAAGGTGGGGCTTATGCTGCCAGTTCTGCAGCTGAGGACACTGAGGCTCAGAGGGCAGGCGACTGCCTGTGATGGGACAGCGAGGCAGCGGAGCTCAGTGTGGGCCTCGCTCCACCCAGCGCACCTGCCCAGCGCCTCTCCAGCAGGTCGGCCCCTCAGGTCGTGCTGTCAAGGAGGACCCAGGCCATCTGGAGCTGGATGGCCTTGAACTGGGAGCAGGGCTGAAAGGAACCTTGGAGACCCCATTTTTCCACCAGGGGCCCAGAGAGGCTGAGTGACTTGCTGGAGGTCACACAGCAAATTAAAGCCAGAACCAGCTTGGGCTCCTTCCTTCCCAGAGAGAACAGAACTTTTGTCACCTGTGGCCCTGGCAGTTCTGTCCACAGTGACCCAGGACGCAGCCCAGTGCTACCCACCTGGAGAGAGAAACTCTCCCCAGGACCTTCCCACGTGGCTGGCCCATCATGGAAACCACAGACAGGGAGCCTCGGGCTCTGGGCAGGAGGAACCAAAGCGATGGGGCACACCCGGCACAGGGTGGGGGGACACTGCAGAGAGTGTTGGGGGTGGGGGTGATGAACTCTTAAAAACAAGCAGCAGCTGACATCAGGGCGGCTGGGCACAGCCCCCCGGGCAGGGGAGGGGCCCTGGCTCCAGACTGAGTGTCAGAGGAAGGGGCTGAGAGCCCCACAGCAGCCTCCAGCCAGCCACGGACGGGTGAGTTTCTCTGTCCGTGACACAGGGGACCCAGTGCTTGGCGGGCCGGGGGCCAGGCCGGCAGGCAGGCGAGAAGTGGTGCCCCCGCATCAGCATCCAGGTGCCGGTGGCCTCTGTCCAGTGCAGGTGGCAGCTGGGGGTGGAGGGCCAGACACAGAAGCCTGGGACAGTCCCTGGGCCTGGCACTTCAGAAGCAGCCTTCAGCGTCTCCTCGTGGAGCCGGGGCCGGGCGCAGAGCGGCATGAGGCTGTCCCGGCTGCGCTGCCGCAGGGACGGTCAGCGGCGTCCCGGCTTCCCAGTTTGCTGGTGTGCGAGGCGGGAGATGCAGGCCGGGCCACCCGCGTGGCAGGCCGCGGCAGCGGGGCCCTATGTACAATTCACCACAGAGAAAGAAGACAGTGGCTCAGCCGGAGGTCCTGCCCACATCTGGGGCCTGAAGCCCCCTTGGGAACCCCCAGGCAGGGCCAGCCCACACCCACGGAAGAACGGCCCTACAAAGGCCCCTTGAACTGGTTCCCAGACAGGTGCTGCCGGATGGAGGGCTTGGAGCTGGCGGCGTCTCCCAGTTTTCTCCAGACCACCTGTGGGGAGGGCGAGATGTGAGTGCAGGGCTCACCCCAAGCCACCTGCTACCTCGGTGCTCTACAGAATCGCCCCCGTCCCCAGATCCATGGAGCCAGGAGGGGAAACTGAGGCACCGGAGGCCCAGAGTTGGTCAGATCAGGTCTTTGCACGTCCACGCTCACCTCACACTGCCCTCCTGGCAGGTCACTGTGGGGGTGTGGCTCAGCCTCGCAGCTGCCCAGCGGGGCCCACAGACCCAGGAGGCAGTGGGGGGCGGGGATCAGGACCCCGAGGCCAGACCCTGTGAAACCCCTGCCCTGCTGGCTCCCCCAAGGGTCCAAAGGAATGACAGTGGTGGGGGGGGGCAGGGAAGAGGCTCTCCTGGGCAGACCCAGAGACAGCCCCGCTTCCAGAAGCAAAGGCAGCCGCGGCCCTGTAGGCCGGCAGGGCGGAGGGTCCCACCTGCACCACCAGCTCTGAGCACCCCCTGCCTAGCCGGCAGCCACCAGGGGCCACCAGCAAGCTGAGAGGACAAGGCCAGTCCCGGGGTGTGGGGCAGCGCAGGCTCTGCCTGGCTCCCCAGGGGAGGAAGAGGTCTGCAGAGACCAGGGACCTCTGGGAGGGGCAGGGGCAGGGGCGGTGGGGACAGGCCTGGGCTCCAGGGCACCTGGCGCTGGTGGAGTCCCACACAGGGAAGGGTGTGGCCATGCTGGGCAGGTCACCCTCCCGGTGCCAGGCCGCTGGCCCCAGCCCTGGCAAGTGCCTCACGTTGCACATCTCGCGGACGATGGCCTTCTCCTTCTCGCTCAGGTCCTCCTCACAGCTGTCCTGGAGCTGCCGGTCCAGGTTCTCGTGCACCTCCAGGACCTGAAAGGAACAAGTCCCAGGGTCAGGGGCACAGGCCACCAGCAGGCCTCGGGGAGGTCACGTGGCCCCCCAAGCCTCAGCTTTCCCTGCTGCAAAACAAAGCTGAGGACCCCGGCTGCCAGGTCCCTAAGGACAGGGGCAGGTCATCCCCTCGCCTGGGGACACTGTGGACACCTACAAGGGAACTAGCAGCCCCGGCTCATTCTGGGAGAAGGGCAGGCAGGCTGGGTGGGCTCACCCCATCACCCCAACCCAGGGCCCGCCCGCTGGGGAGGAGGGGCGCTTGCACACGTGGGCAGTGTGTGAGTCGCTGCCGGTGCAGGTGCAAGTGTGGGCGTGTCCGTGCACACCTGTTCGTGATGTCCACGGCGTGCGCTCACGGAAGGAAGGGGGGAGTGGACGCTGCGCTCAGGTGTGGAGCCCCAGGAGAAACCAGAGCATCACGGGCCTGCCCGTCTGCACCGGGGGCCTGCGAAGGCGGCAGCTGCCCGGAGGCAGGGCCTGGGAGTCCTTCCAGCCCCCCTCCTGCCCCCAACTCTCTGGCTTTGGGGAAGTGCCTGCCTCGGTCACCAGCCACCCGCATGGAGATGAAACCCCACCCCTGCCACTCAGATGCGCCCGGACTCAGAGGGCACGTGTGGTCACAGGTCCCGCAGTCCAGCATGCACCTGGCACCTCCTGGAGAGCAGGTGGTGGCCCTTACCTTCATGGCGTGCACGACAGCCTCGGGCTTCTGTCCTGCAGAGCTGTAGCCGGCAGGGGGCGGCGAGGGCAGCTCAGGAACAGGGCAAGCCGGGCCCTGTGGGAAGGAATCAGACGCTTAGCTCACCTGGCTGGCTCCCAGTGATGGGCGTGGGCGTGATGGGCGGCTCAGCGAGGTCCCTGATTCTGTGGGCCAGGGCCGGGGCGGAAGTGGGGACGGAGGAGGCAGGTGTGAGGACTGGGCACCGGAGGAGCCCCCGGCCCCAGCGTCACAGTCCCCTCCTCGCACCGCACCAGGTCTTCTGCAGATGGAATGGTCTTTCACGGGGTGGAGGTGGGAAGAGCAGTGCGAGGCACCGCTGTGTCCCCAGGCCCCCTCAGCAGCCCAGCCAGCGGCGTAGCACGTTTTGGAGACAAAGTGCGGCCCAGGGAGGCAGGAGACTCCAATGGCACAGCAAGACGAGGAAGGTCTGGAATCAGACCCCGCTCGGGCTGACCCCAAAGTCCCCCTTCCCACCCCAGCACTGCCCAGGGCTGAGAACCTCCTCCTGGCCCTGTCCCGGCCACCTGGGGGACAAATCGGCCCCAGGGGCCTGGCTCCCACCTGAGGCCTGGGGTAGGGGCCCCCAGCCTCCGGCAGAAGCTGAGGGTCTGCGCAGGGCATGGGCCCGGCCCCACCCAGCTTCCCTCCCATGGAGTCCAGGTGGCCGTGGGGCAGGGTGTGAGCCTTCTGGCCTCAGGCGGTGGTGGGGACCCCCGGGGTGCCCACAGGAACCAGGTCACAAGACAAGGGGAGTGGGCTCGAGGGGAGCCTGCGAGTGCTGGAGACAGAAAACAGAAAGAGGCGCCCAGAGACAGGAGAGGGAACAACGTCCGCCAGGCGTCCGGGCCACCGTGCAGCTCCCACACAGGCAGCCGTGGGCCAGCCTTGGAAGCTGAATGCTTCCTTCTCAGTCACTGGGCCCCTGGTGACCCCTCCTGTGGCCCAGCAGACGCAGTGGCCTGGGCTGGAACCCTGCCCAGGCTGGGCTACGCAGAACCTTCCACCGCCCTGGTAGCAACTGCTCTGAGCTCCCCCACCCGCCCTGGCCTGGACCTGCCCCAGGGCCTCGCAGGCTGCCCGGCTCCTAGCTCTGCCCGCAGAAACCCCAGCCTCCCTGAGGTTACGGGGGCACCAGACCTCTGCCACCTCTGGAGGCCCCACAGCCTTGGGGCCTGGTCTCAGGTGCCAGGCCAGGTCTGTCGTGCAGGGAAACCAAACAGGGACCCAGGGGTGTTCCCTGGGCGGCAGTGGAGGCGCCCGGCCTGAGGCAGAGGCCACACTCCCCTCACAGGCCAGCAGGGGGCGCCAGCCACACGCGGACGGCCCTGGGAGGCCTCTGGCACCCAGCCCTGGTGCATGTGTGCTCCTAGCCCTGGTGCATGTGTGCTCCTGTGGGCACCACCGCCCTGTCCTGGCGGAAGACCGCGTGTCAGCGGAGCCCTGGCACCTCTGGCCTCGTGCCCCCACCTGTACCAGGTTCCTGACTGCCTGCTCCCAGGCCGTGATGCCTGGCGCACAGGCAGGAGGGGGGCAGCAGCCTCGGAGGTGGGCTGCACCATCCAGCCCTTTCCTGCCCCCCTCACTGGGTGGTGGCGGTGCCAGCGAGGGCGTGGCCTGGGGTCCTATAAATGACGCCATCGACTAGACAATACGTACAAGGAGTAGTGAAAGCCAGGCTGTCGCCTCTACTGCGTTCCCTCCCCAGGTGCCGCACGCCCGGAAGCTGCGCTGGAGCTCCGTGTCCCCTCCTGCCCCCTCAGGCCACATGCTGGAAGAGCCCAGTGGCTGTCCTGCTCAGTAAGCACCCGCTTGGGTGGACCAGCCCACGGAGTGTCTGCGACAACCCTCCGGCAGACGCTACCTCTTTCCATGCCTGTTTTGGGGATGAGCAGAGCGCGGAGGCTGAGAATGGTTTGCCCCAGACCAAGCAGCTTGGAAACACGGGCTGGGCCTCAGACCCACGTCTGGGGACCTCCAGAGCTGGTGCCAAAGGCGGGGAGACCGGTGTACACCCAAAAGAAGTGAACACAAACCAAATGTCCACAAAGTGCGTGTCCACAAGCATTCGCAGCCACACCACTGACCACAGCCACACAGCAGAAACAACCCGGCGTCCGTCAGTGGATGCCCGGGTGCACGACGGGTCTCCCCACACAGGGGGTGTTATTCAGCCGTGACAAGCAATGGAGACCGACGCAGCCTCCTGTTATGAATCTTGAAAACATGATGAGCCCAGACACAAAAGGCCACGTATGACATGACTCCATTTCTATAAGATATCCAGAATAGCAGGTCCACAGGGACAGAAGTAGCCTGGCAGTTGCTGGTGGCTGGGGGGCGGGTGACTGCTGACGGGTACAGGGTTTCTTTTTGGGCTGATGAAAATGTCTGTCGTGATGACTGCACAACTCTGCGAACATGCCTTTGCTGCACTCGATTGTGTGCTCAAAAACAAAGACAATTGACCGAAAGAAGGTGGCGAGAACACCTTTCCCAGGGGCCTGTCAATAGCCTGGCTCCTCCTGTCAGGGGGCAGACACCCCCCACAGAGCCACCCACAGGCAGCCACGAAGGAGACCTGCCCAGGTGTGCGGGGCCTCACTCTCCCGCGTGGCCCAAGCGCCGGACGCGGGCTCCCCAGGGCCCAGCAAGTCCCCGTGACGATTCCGCGAGGCCTGGACGCTGGCCGGCACTCTGCGCGTTCCTCCAACTCGGGGCTTCCCCTCTAAAAGCAACTCTCAGCCCTCACGAGGCTCCAAGGGTCGGGGAGCCCAGAGCCCCTTCCTGGGAGGGTGGGGACATTAGCATAGACAGCAGAGGACAAGAGAGGCCACCATGGCCACAAGTCCCAGCCCTGTCCTGCTGCCCTTGGTGGCCCTGGACACAGAGCTGGGCTGAGACGAGGGCCCAAACCCTCACGTCGGGTAGGCCACTCGCCTGAGCCTCACCCTCTCACGCGAGAGCATCTGGGTTCTCGGGGTGGGGGGAGGGCACGTACGTTCTGTAGCGAGTCCTGGTAGGAGGGCGGCAGGGATGCAAGCTGGGACTCCGAGTGGTACGGTGAGAAGCCTTTCCGCAGCGGCCGGAACTCCCCGGAGCCCGCCTGCTACAGGGGACAGAAGGAGAGAGGGGTTAGACGGAGCAGCCTGGCTGAGAAGGCAAAACATGATCCCCAGGGCCTGGCAGCGCCGCCCCACAGCGTCCCGGCTGTGGCTCCTCCCTCCCGCAGCCCAACCTGCTCAAAGGCTCCGCCTTGGAGCCCCCCACCCCCGGCCCCCCTTCCCTGGCTTGTCTGTCCTCACAGCAGAGACCAGCCACTCCTCCTTCTCCCCACCCACCTGCCGGCATCCCATCCCCAGTGTTCGCTTTACAAACATTTGCTGAACGGCTGGATAAACAGGGGAATGAATGAAGGAGAGTGAATGAATGAGTGAATGGCTTTCGCACCCTTCAGCCCTGGTTCCTCTACACCAGCATCCTGCATGCGATTAGGTCCCCACACAGGCCAGGCCCCTCGCCCTGCCTGGGGCCCACTATCTCCAGCCCCAGGGGCCACGTCCTTAGGCCCCGGCCTCCCCCAGGCTCTGGGGCTCCCTCCGAGCCTCGGCACAGGCCTGGGCATCGCCCCCCTGAATCCACAGGAACGTGCGAGCTGGGCCGTAACTGACGCCCAGAGCGGCCGGCTTGCCTCAGGTCCTTTGTCTGGGGGCAAAGCCAAACCTCCCCCCAAAGCTGGGTGGGGCCAGGAGCCCATCAGTTGCAGCCACAGGTCCCAGCAGAACTCATCCTGGGTGCGCCCACCCAGTCCAGCACCCACTGACCTCCCTCCTGGTCCGGCCAGCACAAGGTGTGGCCCTCCTTTCTGCACCAGTTTCCGGCCCAAACACCCTTCCCTACTTCAGAGGAGCACAGAGAAAGCCGCCGGGCAGATAAATGCGGCCGCACGTGCCATAAATCAGCAAATAAACCGGGGGAGCGGGGGAGGCCTGGGCCTGGACAGGGCGGGGGCAGGGCACGGAGGACGGGCAACAGCCACATCTGGGCGTCCCTCCTCCCACTCACTAGCCCCATCTCTCATGGGGTCCCCCAGGTGTCCTGCTCTCCCACCCCCATCTCTCATGGGGTCCCCCTGTACCCTGCTCTCCCACCGCAATCAGACCCCAGGGCCGGCCCCGCCCCCACCCCACCCCGCTGCGAGGTCTCAAGGGCCTGGCCCCAGGGGCACTGGTGTCCTACAGGTGGTGGGGAGGGCAGTGAGGCTCACTTAAGGAGGCTCCCATGGGGTGGTCAGAGTGAAAATGGGAAAGCACCTTCACTCCCCAGGTTCAAACCCCGGAGATGCTGGTTGGCCAGAGAAAGGGACAGAGAGGGGTCAGCAGGTCTGTCCCTGCTCAAAGGCCACGGCAGTCAGGCACCGGGAGACTGGGAGCTGTTTCCTGGGCCTCAGGGAGGACACGGGTGTGATCCAAGGTCAGGGGGCCCAGAGGGACACGAGGAAGAGCGAAGTGGGGACCCACCCTGCTGCAGCAGCCCCCAAAGTGTGGGGCTTCAGATGACCCAGCAGCATCATCCGCACAGGGTCTCCCGGGGGGCTGTGGGAAGAGTCTGCCATGCCCTGATCACTCCCGGCCCTGCCTGTGTTAAGCCCACAGTGTATTAATCCTCCCTGTCCCAGCCAGGGGTCTGATCGAGTGAAGCCCCCCTCCCACTAGGTACCAAAAAGAGAAAGAGGCCATAGCCCACCCCTGGCCCAGCACTCACTGGGCCCCGCCACAGGTGACCCCCATGTGAGCCACCCCTGCCTTCACAGAACATCTCCCCTGAGGGGCACACCTCAGCTCCACTCAACGTCAAAAGCCCCAAACCAAATTATTTTCCTGGCCAGGTCTCTGCAAAAACCAGTTATAAAATCGTCTCCAATGGAGAGTGCATTCTAAACCCCAGCCCAGGGGGAGGGTGTGACAGGACCCTCCGCTCACCCTCTGTTCTGTGGGAACCTCGCCACCGCCCCAAGGCTGGTGGGAGAAAGGAGACCAGGCCTGAGGTGGGCCTGGCCCAGCACGCACAGAGACACACGAGTGCTGTCTACTTGGCCACACAGCCATCAGGGGTAGACCCCCGATCCCTCCCACCAGCCAGGCCCCACCTGTCCCTACCCACACACCACCTAGACTATTTGGGCTCAAGCCGCGCTTCCCCCAGAGTCTCTCTGGCCCTCCACCAAATGGGCTCCGGGCAGCCACGTGCTGCTACTGAATACACAGGTTTGCGCTGCTGTCTCCTCCCCTCCCCAGACAGTCTCCTTGGGAGGAGGTGTGTGTCCACGGGGGTGGGGAGCTTTTTAATTAGCAGCATGCAATTCCCACTCCTGCCTTCGGTGAGCATCTATAAACATTTCGCATGTCCACAGAAGTTTATTAGCAAGCCACAAAGCCAGGCAGGAGAAACGCACAGGCTCTCATTAAGGGGCAATGTGACTAATGACGCATCAAATGAGTAACCATGATTGCACTTAAATCCAAATTAAAAATCCTGCTATGTGCCATGCTGGCCCCTTTGCAGAATGAGATCCCCAGGTTTTCATTGCCGAAACCACCTTCTGGGCTTGGTCTGCACATGGAGCAGAGCTGGCGGCTGGGGACGGTGCCCTTCCTTCAGGGAGGTGCCCTGCCGCTGCCTCCCTAAGGCAGATCCCTCAGGACCCAGGGCGAGGGGATCGTGCACACGGAGCAAGCAGACAGCCTGGAACAAGATCTCCCAAATCCTTAACACTGTGGGTCCCAGCTCTGCAAACAGCAGCCCCTTCCATCCCGCCCAGGCAGGCGTGGCCGCCCAATCCCCAGCACCCACTTCTAGGGCTTCTGAAGGGCAGCCTGAGAGTCCCAGGCAGGAGCGAAGAGACCCACGAGGTGGCAGGTCTGCCTCCTCCACTGAGGCCCCAGAGCTCAGGACACCCCTGGGCTCTGTCCAGGGCCTTCACCGCAACGCTGCCCTGCTCAGGGCCAGGGCAGACTTGCTGTGTGAGCTGTGGGTACTCCCCAGCCTCTCTGGGCCTCTGGGATGCTGCCAGAGGCTCCTCCGCAGCGGGGACACCCAGTCCGTGGCCTTCCCATCTTCCCAGGGATTCCTGCTTGCAAAGCTGCAGGGGCTCATTTGGGGCCACCCTGGGATAGACCCTGGGAGCACTGTCAGAGAGGGGTACTGAACAGAAAGGGGGGTGGCACCTGGAGATAGCAGGCCACCGACCACCTGGGCCAGTCCCCTCGAGACAGGTGGGCAGCAGCTGCTGTGGGCAGGAACCCCCTTTCTGGGCTCTGCTCAGGGAAACTACTCTCACCCCTCCCTCCTGTTCCCAAAGGGCATCTGGCCCTCAGATGTGCCACTTGCTGCAGCAGTTATGTGTTCAAGAAGCACACACTGAGGCGGGGCATGGTGGCTCACGCCTGTAATCCTAGCACTCTGGGAGGCCAAGGCAGGATGATGGCTTGAGGCCAGGAGTTCGAGACCAGCCTGAGCAAGAGCGAGACCCCCATCTCTACAAAAAATAGAAAAATTAGCCAGGCATGATGGCGAACACCTGTAGTCCCAGCTACCTGGGAGGCCGAGGCAGGAGGATCGCTTGAGCCCAGGAGTTTGAAGTTGCTGTGAGCTATGATGACACCACTGTACTCCAGCTGGGGCGACAGAGTGAGCCTCTGAGACTCTGTCTCCAAGAAAAAAGAAAAAAGTAGCACACACAGAGCACCTGCTGTGCACCAGGCAGGTGACATGAGGGCTGTGGGGTAGGGGTGGAGGGTGGGCACTGAGGGGGGCGCCCTGTGTCCCTACCTGGCAGCCTGCCCACAGGTGACCACTCCGATCACCAGAGCCTGCTGATGTGTATGGAGTGACCAGGGGCAGGAGCCCCCTCCGAGGGGGCCATCCCAAGTGACTCTGGACTTGTCCCTCAGCCCTCAGTGCAGGATGGGTGGGCACCTCACAGGGCACGGGCGCCTGTGGGGCTCTTCCTCCCTCAGTGGCCTCCCAGCGCAGCTCGGCTGGGCAGCTAGGTGTGGCCAGGGTCCAGAACCACAGGCGGTGGACAGCAACACGGCCAGGTCCTCACCAGCCCGAGGTCCTGCCAATGACCGTGTCTGACCTGGACGCAAACACGGGCCTCCCGGGCCCCAGCTCTCCCAGGTGGGGCTCCCTCCTGCTTCAGGCCCAGCGGTGGGGGGGCTTCAGGGGCTCCCTTACAAGGGGCCAGTTTTACCGTGGAAGGAGAGGGTGGATGTGCTGTCTGCAGAGAGGAGTCTACTTCTACCTTCACACGGATGGGAACTTGGCAGGAAGATACCAGAAGGAGCCAAGGCCCTGTGCAGCTGCTGCAGGCACTGACCCACCTCTGCTGTGGGCATGTGCTGAGATGGCCTCCAGGGCCAGGCGACCACTCTGCGGCTCCCACGCCGTGGCCGGGACCAGGCTGGAGGCCGGGGCTGCAGGGAGCTCAGTTCACACTTTCTGCCGATCCCACTCCCAGAGGGCCCGACCTCCCAGGGCCTGGGGAGGTGGCAGGTGTGACACAAGGGGCAAGACCAGGGCCCAGTGACCACCCTGTCCGCAAGGTCTGGCGACCCCCTCCTTGTCCCCTGTCCCCGTGAGCAGAAGCATTGTGAGAGGCCCAGGGCTGGTCAGTGCAGCATAATGAACGGTCCAGGTGCTGAATAGTAAACCGAGGCCTCCCCGGCCTGGAGCGCAGCAATCTCCACCCAGGAAACATGGGCAAATGGCTCACCGCCCACTGGAGGGGCACAGGGACTCCCCTGGAAGCAGAGGCTGGACTGCACGCCCTCGGGAGGCCATTCTCCCACCAGGGGAGCCGGAGCCACAGGCCTGCCTGGACTCCACTGTCCTGACCACCCCACAGGGCGCTCCGGGAGGCGACTGCGCCAGAGCTGGTTCCACCAAGGCACGCAGGGGCTCTGAGTGCACATACCAGCCAGTCACGGCTGTGGCCTCTGGGGAAGGGGTGCAACCCTGGCACTTTGTAATGACCTTGCTAGTTTACGGTGTGCGTGGCTGGACAGGTGTGGTGCACAGCGCGGCCCCGAGCCCAGGGCGGGCGTG